GTTCTAGGTAGGCCGTTAGGATATTTTAGATCTTCCCTTCTGGGGTTTAAGAGGGTCATATTCAGGAGTAATTTTTAGTGGGTTTAAAGGTAGCTACTAATTACCCTGAACTAGTAGCTATAACCCATATAAGCTGTAGATAAAGTGAATCCCAGGAACAGTTTAGTAGTAATTTAGTAGTAACTACCCATAGAACCCATAGAAACCGTAGGCAAAGAGGGTCCCACAGCCTGAAGCCCAAAGCTCAGGTCGGAAGCCCCATGAATGGCCGGGCAACGGCTGTGGCCGTCCATCATCGAGACAGCTGTGACAAAGGCCAGATCTGCGGGTAGTAGGGTTTAGGGTTTAGGGCTCTTTGTTTTTTTGTCGGAAGGGGGGGGGAGGGGGGGGCCCTTGGTTGTGTTTGTTTCTTTTCTTTTTGGGCCCCTGCGACAAGCACATCACCAGACGAGCAGTGCGTATGAACGAATGAATATACCCCGATAGTTGGACTAGAAATGCCTGGGTTGTACACGTGGGTTTCGGTGCTGTTGAGGGAACAACTTGCAGCGGCTCACTTCCTAAACCCTAAACCCTAAACCCTAAACCCTAAACCCTAAACCCTAAACCCTAAACCCTAAACCCTAAACCCTAAACCCTAAACCCTAAACCCTAACCCTAAACCGCAAAAGTACGCGCGGTCCACGTCCAGGATGCTGCAAGGTGCGGCAACCCGCCGCAAGCACGCCCATCGAGTTCTTCCCGGAGGTTCGGCGCGCGCAGTGTTGGCCTTGGTCTATATTACTATATCCCCCCTTGGGAATTATTGTCTATTCTTGTTTATAGAAAACCCAAGAGATTATTGAAAATAGTATTTTTAAGGTTCTAAGGGGAGTGTAGATTAGGGGTCCCTAACTTTCGTAAACTTCCATATGATTGCGGCTTGAGATTTGGCTTTGGAGCGATGCAGGACTTGGATTTGTAGTGTAGTCTTAAAGTCTTACAGGATGAGTGCCTACAGCGTTCATGTGGAGGGTGGGATTCTGCCACATTACACGCAGCCAGCTCGCAGCCACTGTGGCACATATTCATGAGCACTAGGATGAGGTCCCGAAACATACTGCAAGCTGTGGCTTCAAGGCACCAAGCCCTAATCCTTTAAAGCTCTTAGAGGGCGAGACCTCCCACATCCTTGCCACGAGACTCTGGGCGCCCAAACCGCACAGCCAACGCCCACAACCCTGAATGCTTAGGGTTTAGGGTTTAGGGTTTAGGGTTTAGGGTTTAGGGTTTAGGGTTTAGGGTTTAGGGTTTAGGGTTTAGGGTTTAGGAGCCCTCAAGCACGGGCCAGGTCGGAAGCCCGGTGAATGGGCCAGCAACAGCATTTGCGATCCATTGCGGAGACTGCTGTGGCAGAGGTCACTCCGGGAGGGGCTCCAAACACCCATCTTCAGCCCAACCCCCACCACTGCAAAAACGTGGAGTGGGGTTTCGGATTTAGGGTTTAGGGTTTAGGGCTTAGGGCTTAGGGCTTAGGGCTTGGGGTTTAGGGTTGAAGGAATCCCGTATCCCGTTCTTCCTGGCCTCCTGTAGCGCTTGGTTTTTGGGGCTCCTGCAGCTTCGAACCACCTTCAGGACTTGGTACGGTCTGGGTCCGGGTGCGGGTTTCCACCGAGCTGTCCTGGCATTGCAGTCACCCTAAACCCTAAACCCTAAACCCTAAACCCTATACCCTATAAACCCTAAACCCTATCAACCCTAAACCCTAATGAGCCCTCAGCGCGTTCAGGATGCTGCAGGGTGGAGCAAGACGAAGCATGCACGCCCGTCGTGTTCTGGCCAGAGGTTCGGCACGTGGAGTGTTGGGCTTGGGCTTTTTTCGTCAGACCCCCTACACCCTAAATTTATTTATGTATACTGATACGTCATTAAGAATAATGAATATGTATATATATATATATATAGAGTCTTATTTACTCTAACCGAACCCAAGAACCTAAACCCCATGTGGCTTGCTAAACTCGCAGCCAAGGAGTGGTCTGATAATCTCGAGATTCAGCGCGAGCGCAACTCACAGACCCCATGAACCCCAATAAACCTTTAGGGTTTAGGGTTTAGGGTTTAGGGTTTAGGGTTTAGGGTTTAGGGTTTAGGGTTTAGGGTTTACAAACCCCATGAGCCCCATAAACCCTACAAACTCTACACACCCCAATAAACCCCATAAACCCTGCAAACCCTGTCAACCCTACAAACCCTACTGCCATGAACCTTCAAGTAAAAGTCTAAAGAAACCTAAACCCAACCCTAAACCCCAATTAAACCCTGGCCCCTGAACCCTAAACTCAAGTAAAGGGGGGGGGGGGGGGGGGGAGTAGGATTTTGGGTTTTTAGGACTTGAGGGTTTTAGGGTTTTAGAGTTTCGGGTTTTAGGGTCTTTGGGTCTTAGAGTCTTAGGGTTTTAGGTTTTAGTGTTTCAGTCTTTCAGGCTTTCAGGTTCAGGGCTTTGGCGCAAATGTCGCCAAAGGCTTCCCAAGCCGGAAGTCGGCGAGGGCCCCAAGCCCTGAGCAGGTCGGAAGCCCCATGAATCCCGAAACCCCTAAAGCCCTAAACCCCAAACCCCTAAAGCCCTAAAGCCCCCCAAAACCCTCTAAAACCCCCTCAAGCCCTGAGCAGGTCGGAAGCCCCATGAATGGCCCGGCAACGGCTTTGGCCGTCCACTATCGCGGCAGCCGTGACAAAGGCGGGGTGCCTTTGGACAGGGTTTAGGGTCTAGGGCTTAGGGCTTAGGGCTAAGGGCTTAGGGCTTAGGGCTTAGGGTTTAGGGTTTAGCGTGCTGGAAGTGACTGGATGTTATGTGCGGTGTACTGCGATGATCAGGAGACAACTTGCAACCTATCACTTCCTGACAGTGCTGAAGCAGTAGTTCAAAGAAGAGCAAGTACAAGTAGTGCATTTCGCAATGGATACCAGTACTAGTTTCTGCTTAGGATGCAAGCGGAGTCGCGCCAAGGTTCTGCTACTGTCCCAATGAGCCCTCAGTGCATGCAGGATGCTGCAAGGCGCGGCAACCCGCCGCACGCCCGCCCATCGCGTTCTTTCCGGAGGTTCGGCGCGCGCAGTGTTGGGCTTGAGTCTTCACATGATCATGAACTCATATATATATATATATATCTATATATATATATATATTATGCATATATGTATATATACATACTGCATGTCTCTGTGAACTACAGTAAATTTGCACACTGATTTTTGGGCCTGTAGCTCCAGCATTGAGGCGACTAGAGCGTTGGCTTGAGATTCCCAGTGGGCCACGCACAGTCTTTTAAGAAGAGTGCCCCCAAGCCTCATGTGGTTCCGCTGGGGAGGGTGTGGCTCTGCCCCCGGAACATTTGAGAAGCTGCAAGGCACCAAGCCCACTTCCTTTAGGGCTCAGGGCTACCTGGAATCTGGGTATGACAGAGGCGTTGAAAACCTAAGGCCAACAACCATGAACCCTACAACCCTGGAGGGCTTCGTTCTCAGGGCTTGGGGTTTCCAGGGTTTTGGGTTTCAGGGGTTAGGGTTTAGGGTTTAGGCTGGGGTTTCGGGTTTAGGGTTTAGGGTCTTGAAAGCTCAACACTTAGAAAGCCCTCAAGCCCTGACCAGGTCGGAAGCCCCGTGAATGGGCCAGCAACAGCTTTCGCCGCCCACTATGGGCACAGCTGTGGCAGAGGCCAGTGACGGAGCCCTCAAGCTGCGAGTTTTGGACCAGGTTTAGGGTTTGGGGTTTGGGGTTTAGGGTTTAGGGTTTGGGGTTTAGGGTTTAGGGTTTGGGCGCTGCCCGTTGTCAGGGTAAGTCTTTTCCTTGCAAGCAACCCGGCAACCTAATCCTAGCTACGAATGAGCCTCGAGCCTTCATCCAAGGGTAGTTTCATCGGCCCGTAGTATGGTCCCTTACCTCGTTTAACGGGTTCTGATGTATGACCGTTAATTTGTATGGGTTATGAAGGGGGGAGAAAAGAGGTAACCTTTTGGGGACCATGTATACACCCTAAGATCTCAGCACGTTCAGGATGCCGCATGGTGCAGCAAGACGAAGCATGCACGCCTGTCGTGTTCTGGCCAGAGGTTGGGCACGAGGGTTGGGCATCATCTTCTTGCTTAGAATACAGAGCCCTCAAGCCTGAACTCTAAACATCCTGAACTGGCAAGCATGGTTTTGGGGGGTCATATTTCGAGCACTGAAAGGCGTTGGCTGGCCAAGGCATGGTTTGATGTCTTGGGGCTCAAAAATCCCCAAACCATACGAACCACAAACCCTTTAAACCCTAGACCGTCCAAACCCTTTAGCCCGAAACCCGACACTCTTCCAACCCGTTAAAGCCTTTGAGCCCTAAACCGTTTTAGACCCCAGAAGCCCTAAACCCCAAACCCCAAACCCTAAACCCCAAACCCCAAACCCTAAACCCGAAACCCTAAACCCTAAACCCCTAAACCCTAAACCCTAAACCCTAAACCCTAAACCCTAAACCCTAAACCCTAAACCCCAGACCTGATGAACCCAAAGCCTTGGAATGCGGCCCTGGGCCTTGCTTCTGTTTGGTGCTTCCTGCAGCGCCTTCAGCCCTCATAAGCCCCGGAGCACCCCCCAAGATGTTCTTAAGCTTAGGGGGCTTAGGGTTTTAGAGCTTAGGGCTTAGGGTTTAGAGCTTAGGGTTTAGGGTTAGCCCCCGCCATAGAATCTTAAAGTTTAGGCTCAAAACACCTAAAGAATCCAAGCCTTGACCAGGTCGGTAGCCCCATGAATGGCCCGGCAACGGCCTTGGCCGTCCACTATCGAGACAGCCGTCACAAAGGCCAGTGCCGGGTGGCTTTGGGTTTAGGGTTTAGGGTTTAGGGTTGAGGGTTTAGGGTTTAGGGTGTAGGGTTTAGGGTTTAGGGTTTAGGGTTTAGGGTTTATTAGGGTTTAAAACCAGAAGGCTTAACCCTATCTCAGCCCTGACCGGATAGTATGTGAAGTGCCGAGGGCATGAGGACTGAACAGCTTGCAACAGATCACTTCCTGGCAACAAGATGTACTTGCCCAGCTATATGCAGCAATGATCCCTCAAAGCGCCCAGGATGCTGCAAGGCGTCGCCACCGGCAGCATGCACACCCATCGCGTTCTTTCCAGAGGTTCGACACGTGCAGTGCTGGCAATCGGCCTTCTATTCTAGTACTGATTTATATAATGTGTTGTATTAGTTTTTGGATAGTTTTATGGTCTATAAATTCTGTTTTATTCATATGGCCCTGTGAAACATAGGCCGAATCTGGGGCTTAGTTCCAGAATTTCTGGCCCTAAACCCTAAAATCTAGACCCTAGACCCTAAACCCTAAACCCTAAACCTTGTTTTAGACTCTTGGTGGTTCATGCGCAGTCGTAAAAGCCTTGGAGGGGGGCTTGCTTGCAGCAGCTTGAGCTCGGTGCTTCACCTAGACCGCGAAGCTTTCAAAACGCAAAGCCCAAAATGATGCATCCTACAACCCTGAAGCTCTGAAGCCCCTGAAGCTCAAAACTTCAGGGGTTTAGGGTTTAGGGTTCAGGGTTTAGGGTTTAGGGTTCAGGGTTTAGGGTTTAGGGTGTAGGGTTTAGGGTGTAGGGTCTAGGGTTTAGGGTTTAGGGCCCACAAGCCCTGACCAGGTCGGAAGCCCCGTGAATGGGCCAGCAACAGCGTTCGCCGTCCACTATGGGCACAGCTGTGACAAAGGCCGAAATGTTGGGGCATTTAATTTGCTTCCCTTCGGCCCAGCCCTCGACTCTGCTCCCGATGAGTGAATACATAGCCTGGCCAGATGTCTTGGGCTCTCGAAGCCTCGAATCAGATTACTTAGTACAAGTAGTAGGGTTTGGGGTTTGGGGTTTGTGGTTTAAGGTTGAGGGTTTAGGGTTCAGGGTTTAGGGGTGCTAGCGAGTTGGATTCAGGCACGCTCCGTAGTGCCAGGAGTACTTGGTAGTGATCCCTGAACGCGTCCAGGATGCTGCTGGGCATCGCCATCTGCAACGCCCGTCGCGTTCTGGCCAGAGGTTCGGCACGTCCAGTGTTGGCCTTGTGCCTTCTGCGGTTTGTTTACTTAATGTGGCCTTGTGATATTTGGGGATTTCCGAAATTAGAGGCACCTTATTGGGGTCCGTAGTACAAGGGAAGCCTACTAGTAGGGGTCTATTTCAGTGCTTTCGTAAACCCTCAATTTGCAGGTCGGGCTGAGGAGGTCAATGGTTCGAAGTTCCAGCACTGAAGTAGGGTTTAGGAAAGTTTAGGAAAGTTTAGGGTTTAGGGTTTAGGGTTTAGGGTTTAGGGTTTAGGGTTTAGGGTTTAGGGTTTAGGTCCCGGTGTTGTCTGGGACCTTGCTCGAGAAGAAACAGGTTGAGCCTGAAAGGTTGGGATGTTCTCCCTTCTACTAGCAGTCCTTATTAGGGATGTTAGCGCACCCTATTCTACATCCCTACTAAGGACTGTTAGTATAAGGGGGAACATCCCAACTGAAAGGTATTGTGTCCATTATTCCCAAAATCCTGAACCTCATAATGCCCTGAGAGTAAGTTGGTTGGTATATATGTGTGGTTTTTCCCACCTACTCGCAGCCTACATGACAGAAGCTCGCTGACTTGTTTCACAGCGACGTTGAATGTATACTAGGGCTTGCGGAACGCCACCCCCCAGACCCAAAAGCCCAAAAGCCTCTTGAAGCCTCAGAAGCCCCACGTCCTAAACCCTAAACCCTAAACTCTAATCTCCAAACCCTAACCCTAGACCCTAAATCACCCTAAAGCTCCAAGCCACTTCACCAGGTCGGAAGCCCCGTGAACGGCCCCACAGCGGCCTTGGCTGTCCACGATCGGGGCAGCTGTGACAAAGGCCAGTACTGTGGGAGGAGGGAGCCCTCATGTGGTTTCGAGACCCTAAACCCTACGCCCTAAACCTTAAAAACTAAACCCTATACCCTAAACCCTAAATCTAAGCCCTTGACCCTCACGTGGTTTCTAAACGCCCAGGCACTCGTGCCAAGGCTGAGGCGCCAGTTTCCTTTGGCGCGCTGTGGCCCGAGGCCAGGGGCCTTAGCAGGGTGCCCTATACCTTAACGCCTAAACCCTAAACCCTAAACCCGAAACTATACAGGGGTCGGAATAGTTACTAGTAGTATTCCCTTATGATCCCTGTATGGGGGCTTACGACAATAAGGGACCCGTAGTATAGACCGCCAAATAGTAGGATTCCTTTTTAATGAGGACGCCAATAAAGTATCCCTATATTTCGGAAACCGCCATATAATTGTAATGGTGTAACTTAAAACCCCAAAAAGGCCCCTGTCTTAGGGTTTCGGGTGAGTTCGGCAAGGTCACGTGCAGCCTACTAAGAAGCCCTCAAGTGGTTCGTGCTTTGTGCCCTCAACCCTAAACCCCAAACCCCAAACCCTAAACCCTAAACCCTAAACCCTAAACCCTAAACCCTAAACCCTAAACCCTAAACCCTAAACCCTAAACCCTAAACCCTAAACCCTAAACCCTAAACCCCAAAAGCAAGCAAAGCCCCTTCTTTCGAGGTCGGGAGCCCGCGGGGGGCGGACGACATGGCTGTGGCCCTGCTGAGTCCTTGAAGGTCGGAGGCCAGTCTGGTTTAGGGTTTAGGGTTTAGGGTTTAGGTTTCCGGGTTTAGGGTTTAGGGTTTGGCCTTTATAAACCGCTATAAGCAAAGGAAAAGTCTAGGGGGATAAACGGGTTAGGGTTTAGGGGTTTTGGGGTTTAAGGTTTAGGGGTTTTGTTTAGCATCAGCGGAATCCCTCCCCCCCTCATAGAGTGGCAGGCAGGCCTTCCCTTAAAGGGGGCCCTAATCTCGCTTATTGGCCCCCTCTGTTCTTTGGGGTTCTTTAAAGATATATGTATGTATATATGTACAAATGTATTATATGTATAGCTGGTGCCTTCAGAAACGAAAATGTATTTCAAGCAATATGGGTATAGTTTCATCTTTCTGGTTCAGTCTAGGCAAACCGCAACCCTAAACCCTGAACCCTAATACCCTGAACCCTAAACCCTCAACCCTCGGTTCCAGCACCTCCCCCCGCCTGTGGACCTGGAGGTTCTTGCTGGGGATTCAGGTTTTTGGGCATGAGGTCTTTTGGTTTTGCGTGTGGGGGGGGGGGGGGGTGGGGGTTCCCAAATCCTAAACCCTAAACCCTAAACCCTAAACCCGAAGCCATTTAAGAAGCCCCGCGAGGCATGATGGACGGAAACTTGCCGCGACTCTCCGGACTCTCGCGTCCAGAGCCTGAGAGCTTTGGCGCTCTGAGGCCGTCAATGTACAGGATCCCGGGACATCCGCTTGTAGTTTTGTAGGGTGTAGGGTTTAGGGTTAAATCCTTCACCTGAGTGTGGGAGCTTTGGATGTCCCCCCGGGAAGTCATGCAGCGACCGCAACGAACAGCGGGCAAGCCATTAATTAGCCGATGCTCCCTGTGTGTACACTTTGTTAAAGTCTCCCTCGCGGCCTTCCGATGCAAGTTCGGCTTTCTTCCGTTGATTCGGGCCATGGCCAGCAAGACAGTGAACCCTGAAACCCGAAAACCTCAAAGGCCTAAAACCCTGAAACCCTAAAACCCTGAACCCGCAAATCCTAAAACCTAAAACCCTAAAAACCTAAAAACCCTAAAGACCCTAAGCCCAACTCTCTACTTGCAAGGGCAGGCCGTCGCCTTGGGCGTGTGTCAACATTCCTGAGTATGACTATTGTTAATATCATTATTTTGAAGATCAATACTGTTCTGATTACTACTATGTTTTTTACGATTTTTTATTATGATTATGGTTATGATTATTCTTAGTATTATTATTATTATTATGATCATGATTATGATTTTTGTTTTTCTTCTTCTTCTTATCATTATTTGTATTTGTATACTTAGTCAAACTCTTATTCTTGTATTCGCATGAATATTGGTATCATGCTTACTACTTTGCTTTTGTTGTTATGATTGTTATTTCCTTAGTTTTACAAACCCCTCATCCCAACACCTCACAACTTGCGCCGCGCCTTGCCAAAGACCGAAGCAAGTTGAGACACGCCCATCCTCTGCAGGCTTTTATTGGGGAAGTTTGGGAGCCCCTAGAGTTCGGAATTCGGGCTTGCTCTGCGCTGCAGGGGGCGCGCTTTTCGCTTTATAGTTGCTGGTGGCTGCAGGCAGCGCCCCAGGATTGCACACATCTCCGCTGTACAGTGACCGCACGCGGGCTGCCCGCGGACGCGCAGCACGTGGCGTGCCTCACCGAGATCGTGCCATTCTGGGTGAAGAAGGACTGGCTCATGTTCTCATAATTAATCATACCCGAATGCCAAACGTGGCACTCTGGGTACTCAGACTGCTTTGCAAGGTGAGTTGAGTTGGCACTAATTACTGAAGATCAAGTCAAGGGTTGCAACACGCTAAAGCCTAACCCTAAACTCTAAATCAGAGACTCCTTTATTCAAGGCCCCCTCAATCCTAAACCGTACACCCTCAACTGACCTATATAACCTACAATTAAACCCTTATAAGAATTAAAAATTATATAAACGAAAACCCCCCAAAAAATGGACGTCCCAACGGCACCCTACAAACCCCTCTAAGCCCAAAGCCTATATCCAACAGGCCCTATAAACCTCGGAGGCCCGATACGCGCCCTGTAGATCCCACAGAACCTAATCCCGACAAGACCTGCAAACCCCAGAATCTGAGGTTGGAACCATGGGCCCTTATTATACATAGTGTATATAGGGGTTTTATAACAAGGGACCCACAGTAGGTGCCCATTCATAAGGCGCCAGCTCTCCTTTGGCGGCGCCTGCGTTGCAGGCAACATCGATGTGTTTAGGGCTTGGGGGATGCTTGCGGTCTAGGGATGTTTAGGGTCTAGGGTTTAGGGTTTATAGGGTTTAGGGTTTAGGGTTTAGGGTTTAGGGCCTAGGGTTTAGGGTTTAGGGTTTAGGGTTTAGGGTTTAGGGTTTAGGGTTTAGGGTTTAGGGTCAGGGGCGTTAAGCGCTGTAATTGTTAGGCGTTGAGAGTCTACTCCGGGTTTTCGGGTTGAGGGCCTCCAGGGGTTTTAGGGCTTGCTGTGATAGTCGTCATTCTAAACGAAGGTTTGGCATGACTATGTTCGCGTGGAGGGATTAGATTTGGGATGTTCCCCCTTCTACTAGCAGTCCATAAGAGGGATTATGGTACCCCCCAAAAATGATCCTCATCAAGGACTGTTAGTAGCATTGGAGCATCCCAAGTTGTCTAAGCTTGTGGAAGATCCCAACGAGCCTGGAATCTCTCATCTGCAGGTGTGCCTTACATATGCATGTTTCTACAGAAATACATATACATACATGTACATGTAGATGCATGTGTACATCTACATACGCATGTTTGCAATGCTCCGGCCACATGAGCCCGAAGACTATTCTGAACACCCCACGTCCCCCCCCCCCCAAAAAAAAAAAAACAAAAAACACACACACACACACACACAAAACATGAAAAAAAAAAAAGAAAACTAAACCCTAACCCCCCCCCCCCCCCCAACAAAAAAAGAGAAAACCAAAAAAACAAAGCCCTGCAAAGCCCCACGTGGGAATGCAAGGAGCCCACCCCCTCGCAGCGCCCGGCTCCTGCCAGCCCCAAGAGGAGCCAAGGCGGCTGCATGACACTAAGGGGGGATTTAGAGTTTAGGGTTTAGGGTTTAGGGTTTAGGGTTTAGGGATGGGCTTTTCGGTTTGCGGCTGCTCAAAGGACTTAAGGAGGGAGACCCTGAGAAGGGACCTTCGGCGTAATTTGGGGGGTACTTGCTCTTCAAGACACCCTAAACCCGAAAGCCTAAGCCCCAAGCCCTAAGCCCTAAACCCTAAACCCCAAAGCGGCCCTTTCCCGGTTAGGGCAGCAAGGCCCGCACCTTGGGTTAGGCCCTCGTGCAGAGGGTAGTGGCTCAAAACAGGGTAAGAATTGGACATGGTCTGTTTGAGGGTTTAGGGTTTAGGGTTTAGGGGAGGATTTTATTATAATATGGTTACTGGGGTACCAAGGATAGCGTCACACTACTACCCGGGATTCCCTAAACCCTAAACCCTAAACCTTCCTTGAACTCCCGCCCCCCCCCCCCCCCCCCCCCGTAAGAACCCTATAAAGCTTCTTCGCAGGCGCCTGCTCTGGAGCCGAACCTTGGATGGTCTTCGGACGTGTAGGGTTTAGGGTTTCGGGTTTCGGGCTTATGGTTTATACGGTTTGGATGGTTTATATGGTTTAGGGTTTAGGAGTGCAGGGTGTAGGACGCAAGCGCGTAAGGTGAATGGTGGTTTAGGGTTTAGATGTTTTGCTATTCTGCCCTCTGCCGATCACCTTGCTTGCTTGCGAGGCCAATCCGTTCATCAAGGTAAAGCCGCTTTTCCATCACCAACTCTTGCAGCTCATTTTTTGCAAATGCCTTGGGATGTTCCCCCTTATACTAACAGCTCAAAAAAGATGATAGAAACCCATTATTAGATTCCCGGACTGTTAGTACAAGTGACAACATCCCAACAAATGCTCCTTGAATCCTTGGAACCCTACTCGGAGGTTCATGGTACGTATGAACCAATTACAACCGTACTTATGACTGAACTTAACAACCATATCAGGGCACTTAAGGGGCTCATAAGTGGATTCACAGTACTGTTATAATTGACTAATAAAGAAACCCTCAACCTCCACTCTCAACCCTAGCCTAAACCCCAAACCCTAAACCCTAAACCCTAAATCCTAAACCCTAAACCCTAAACCCTAAGCCAAGGAGCCCGGTGAACTGGCGAGGCCGCCAGATGGCCGCGAGCTTGCCGGGTCTACGGCACGGGAGAGGTGCAGGGTTCACCCAGAATGAGGTTTAGGGTTTAGGGTTTCGGGTTTAGGGTTTAGGGTTTAGGGTTTAGGGTTTAGGGTTCAGGGTTCAGGGTTCAGGGTTCAGGGTTCAGGGTTCAGGGTTCAGGGTTCAGGGTTCAGGGTTCAGGGTTCAGGGTTCAGGGTTCAGGGTTCAGGTTCAGGGTTCAGGGTTTAGGGTTGGGATTTTCCCCCCTCTACGAACAGCTCCTTAATAGGGATTATGCAAGGGAGTACATAGTTTTCTACTAAGGACTGTTAGTATAAGGGGGAACATCCCAAGGTTCGCCCAGAAAGGCTTTTTTCTGTAGGTTACCTTTTTTAGGGGTAACCACCCCAAAATACGACAATCCCGCAAAAATATCCGAAAAAGGAACTAACATTAGGAGTCTTCAGGTAGAATTTAGAGTTCATCAGGGGCAGACTGCCGGGATGGTTGGGGTTCAGGCGGGGGAGGGATAGGGTGTCGGCTTGTTCAGTGTAGAAACGGAAAAAAGGAACATTGGGCCTTAGGAGTTCGTGACCGGCTTGCTTTTGTTGGAGTTTGTGTGGTGGCTCTGCCACTGTCGCGAGCTGGGATCATAGACTCACAGGGACGGTGATGTGCTAGCCGCCGGTACGAAAAAAAAGCGTACGTGTCACCATCGACCATGCCCACCTGCCAGGACGCCCCGTGACAGTCCCTTCTGCCTCCCGCCTCCGCAAGCATCGCCAGCGCTGCCGGCGCCACA